GCTGGTAGGTGGGGTAGCAATAACAGTAGTAAGAGGAGCAGCAGGCGCAGTAGAGGCAGCAAACGGAAGAGCAGTAGTAGTAGCAGTAGCAGCAGCAGTAGCAGCAGCAGTAGCAGTAGCAGTAGCAGTTAGCAGAAGTAGTAGTAGTAGTAGTAGTTGTTGTTGTTGTTGTAGTAGTAGTAGTAGCAGTAGTAGTAATCGTCGTAGTAGTAGTAGTAGTAGTAGCAGTAGTAGTAGTAATAGTAGTTCTTTGTTGTTGCTGCTGTTGTTGTTTCTGTTGCCGTTGCTGTTGCTGCTGTGGGAGGAGGCTGAAACTACAACAACATTAGAGATTTATAAGGGGATGTTATTAGCCAGATATGCCCAGTCATGGCCCGGAACCTGTCTTGAACGGGCCCTCCGGTCTGTAGCTGCTGGGTGCCATTGCATGGGACAAAAGCTTCCGGGGTGGTGGGTCCGGGCTCTGACTGCCATCTTAATTGAAAGGGTGCCACACGAAGGCCCGTCGCTGTCGAAAACTCTACATGTTCACACGGGCCCAGAGCTACTGTCCAGACGGCCCATTCAAGCGGTGCGAGATGAAGCGCAAACCTATAAATATAGAGGCCTGATGACGGCTAGACTCTGACATAAACTTTACTGTCCCAGATGTATGGTTCATTGCGGCCTTTCGAATTAGAATACTTTTTTTGTGATATATCATAGCATAAAGTTGGGAAATCCTTAGGAACAATGTTAATTATTCAGCTCAGCTTCTACATTCTTACTAACCATTCGGGCCCCGATAATACATTTGTAAATCCAAGGTTCACTTCCCTGGTTGTCCCGGCAGAAAGGCAGGATCATCCTCCCGCGAATAAAGCAACCTCAGATCGCTCCGTATGGCTTTTTGAGGGATCTGAACCCTAAGTCCTCAGCCGGCTTCGGGGCTTTCGATGCTTCAGTACCCTAAACCCTAAACCCTAAACCCTAAACTTTAAACCCTAAACCCTAAACCCTAAACCCAAATGGGGTTTTGCAGAAAATTCTACTAGGACGGGTCTCTGGCCCTCTGCATTCTGTAAGGCCTCGGGGGCGCATCTCCAGCCCGGGGAGATCAAGCGAGGAGTGGGCGAGGTTGCAGGGTTTAGGGTTTAGGGTTTATCGGTTTAGGGTTAAGGGTTTAGGGTTTCTGCTTCCAAGACGCATGTACTCCGGATAGAGCTGGCTAGTGTTGGACACACAATACTCGCGTGCATCCGTGTTGAAGGCATACTTCCGATCGCCCAACACCTCAGGGTTTAGGGTTTAGGGTTTAGGGTTTAGCATCGCATCTTCTAAAGTTCACTGCTGGGCTTCAGAGGCTTACAAGCTACGGCTTGGCACGACGACTTTCTATCCCTTTGAATATGACTGGCGTTACAACCATATCAGGTAGCTTCGTCATCACTACGGCTATCATCAGTGTCGTTCGTATTGCCCGTCTCTTTGATTTGACTCTTTAGCCGTTTTGTGCTTTGGAATCGACGTTCTTGGGCTGGCCCATTTCCCGAAATTGTGGGCAGCAGAGCAGGCAAAAGAGATGATTAGTCTTTGACTTGCGACCCCTTCCCGGTGACCACTCGGGGGTGTATTGAGCTAATCATCACATGTTAGAAATGAAACCTGCGGATGGGGCACACTGTCGTACTTACCCTCCTTCACCACGTTCTTGGCAGAAACCATCCGCTTCAGCCTGCCGCCGCGCCATTTGGTGTACCTGCTGTCCAACACATTGACAGCAGCCACCCAGGAACCGCTGAAAAAACACCTCGAGTGACGACTCAGACAATTAGCTGTCACCGGCAGCCCCGCGGCATGCCTGAGTATCTTCAACCTGCATGAGTCTCGGAGGGTGAGAACTCGAAAACAGATCATGCGTCGACAGAACCGCAGAGAAAGCCCACTAGGGGTAGTCACGACAACAGAAACAGCAGGAGCAGTAGTAGCACGAGTGCGAGCGCGAGCGCGAGCACGACTACGAGCACTAGCGCTGCGACAACTACGAGTACCAGTCGGATGCCTGAAATAACCGCGAAAAGCAGAGCCTAAATGCGACAGGTTGTCAACACAATTGGAACTGGAGATGATGATCTGCACCGCTTTGAATGAACGCCGCTAAGAGGCTTCGGCTTTGGGATGCAATATTCTGGTCTTCTGGGCCACTGCTACTCCAAACTACGTCCAACTATGCTTGATTCTCCGGCCTCAGGTATACAGTACACACCAAGATGCAGCTCCATTCAACAGACAACTTCGCTGTTGCCTTCCCGCAAACCCACTCTACCCTAGGGCCTGCACCCCTAATGTAGGGGCCTTAATAATTACAATAGGGTTTTGGGGTCCACTATTCTAAAAAAATTATGATAAGGAGCCCAACAAAACATAGGTAATTGTTAAGGTCCCTATGCTACGTAGAAGCCCAAAAGATGGAAACCCAATCTCTTCAATCATGAAGAGTTAAGAGTAACATGCTGCATAGGGAATCCCAGCACTAATCGTCCTTAATCCGGTTTCCAACTTTTTGGGCTTTACCATAAACCCTCCAACTCCCAAACCCTCAACCTCTGACCACGACCGGGTTGCCGCGTCTCGACATACACACGGCCCAAAGCAGCCCGGACAAGGAGAAGAGACTCGGCGTGGGAGCTGTTTCAAATTATGAGAATAAGGCCTAGGGAATTAGTGGTTGAGCATTCCGCAATTGGAGGGCGTGGGGCTTAGGGTTTAGGGTTTTAGGGTATAGGGTTTAGGGTTCACCAACCTTTTCTTTCAGTTGGCTGGGCTCCGTGCCGAAATTCCAGCTTCTGGGGAAGGTCTGGCATTCGTTGATGGCTGGTAAACCCGTTGCTTGGTGAAAAACCTTTTCAATGGGAGCTACGCTAAACCCTAAACCCTAAACCCTAAACCCTAAACCCTAAACCCTAAACCCCAAACCCAAGCATGACAAACTGGCCCCGTGCACCCCGAAGCTCGAGATCCCATACTCGAACCGCAGACCCACGAGTCCCTGTTGCAAAGCTCCGAACCGACCGTCGCCACTCTCAAGACCAGCCCAGAACTTCCAGGACCTGAAGCTCTGGTAAATAGGGTTTAGGGTTTAGGGTTTAGGGTTAATAATCAGAATAGGGTTTCGGGGGATCCCTATTATAGTTATAGTATAGTATACCCCAACACCCCAGTCTAATTATTAAGGCCCCTATATTATGGCCCAGGGTGCGTGAAGGCCGTCAGGGCCAAGCGGAGAATACTTGTCGGCTAGGCAGGAGGTCTCTGCAAAGTAGGCGCCTCCGCACGGGGAAGAAGAGACAGGGAGCAGGGTTTTAAGGGTTTAGGGTTTAGGGTTTAATGGTTTAAGGTTATTGGGCTTCAAACCCTAAACCCTAACTCAGTGGCTGCAGCTGCAGTGAAATCTGTAGCAGCAATGCGAAATGTTGCTGCTTCTGCTGCTGCTGATATTGTTCTTGGTATCGGTGCTCGTCGTTGCAGCGCTGGGGATGTCGCTCCTATTGTTTCTAGTAGCACTGTCAGTAACGATTCTGTTGAGAGGGAGGAGGGAGCAAAGGCGAAGGGAGGAGGAGGAGGAGCCATACTCAGAGCAAGTACCACCATGGTCGAAGTCAGACCAACTAGCCACGTAAGGCCTCAACTACTAGCCCTCACAATGTTGCAGGGCTTTGGATGAACACTTCGGCCAACCAAAGCCGACGATCTCACTCCCAGCTTACAGCTAAGAGATGAACACATTAATGACAGCTCGATGGCTGAGGGTCCAAGGAGGGCTTGGGCAGTGTCAACACCAATGACTTACTGAGGATTCTGATCCGATGGGTTCTTGCCGAAAGCTAAGGAAATCTGTCTTCTTTGCTTGCCACCCATGGCCATGCCTGTGACGATTCGTATTGCTATGACGTCTCTGCACAAGTGGGCTCGCCTACTGCAGGGTCCTCAAGAGCTACAAATTAGGGGGCGCGGGATACTTCTATTTACTATGTATTGCTAGTAATTCAGACCCTTGACCCCAACCCCTGCACCTGCACCCTTAACCTTGGAGATCCCGTTGGACATTGGCCCTAAATCCTACTGAACCCTCACTCCCAAAGCAGCAGAAAAGCAGCACCCCCCACCTCTCCCCAAAGCCTTTGCGTTGACGGACCTTGGCTTCTGAGACCAAGGTCTGGCGCTCAAGGTTTAGGGCTTCGCGCCTGGGTTTTGGGCTCAGGGCCTGGTCTTTAGGGTTTAGGGTTCAGGGTTCAGGGTTTAGGGTTTAGGGTTTAGGGTTTAGGGTTTAGGGGCCGGCTACATGGGTTGCATCTGCTAATCAAGCAAGTTGCCCCGCGCGCTTCATGTCGAAGTGGTGTCCTCGGCTTGCGTTTGATTGCGCGCACTTTGCAGAAAACACAGGCTGCACCAAGGCCGGAGACCTTATTGCCGCAGTTAGCTCTTTTTCGTGTTGCTGTTGTACCAACAAGTTGCTACGTAATACTAAACCCTAGGCCCTTAGGCTTAATCCTAAACGGAAGTTCTGTCTGTCCATCGCACAAAACGGAATACACCCATACTTCTTAGTAAGCGGTCACAACGACGACATCGATGTTGATAATGATACGGATAACCATCATCATAGTTCTCATCATAGCAAGCCGTGAACCCAAAACAGGGGTGTTTAGGGGTCTCGGGTTGTCGCTTTCGGGTTTGATAGATGCTTTCGGGGTCTAGGGCTCGGGATTCAAGGTTTAGGGCTTACAGTAAGGGTTTTGAGACTCAAGCTTTAGATTTTCGAGTTCAGGGTTTAGGGTTTAGGGCTTAGGGTCTACACTGAACCCCAAACACGGGTCCGAAGGACGGGTTCCGCGCCACGACTATCGAAAGGAGCACCAACGTGTTGACAACAATTCTACATGGAGCTGGTTGGTAGGTTCAGTCTCTAGCTGGGTAGTTCTCTAAATTACGGTCCCTTTGTAGGTCCCCAAAATAGTACGGCACCCTTATAAGAAGGACCCTACAAGGAACCCTAATTTAGAGAACTACCCAGCTGTGGAGCGGAGATGGGAGAAACACAGAGGATATGGAGGGGCCTCAAGCGGACGAGCCGTGTCTAGCCCGCTGCGCTGCACTAAGAACGACACGTAAACATGGACATTTCAACTGGAAACTACCCGCCCCCGGCAAAGGAATGCCTGACTCCTCCTGAACCCGACTGAACTTGGGCCACGGTTTAGCTTTTTTTGGTTGGTTTAGGGCGAGGTCCCACGATTTAGGGTTCGAGTGTCGGATCTTATGGTGCTGGAGTTGTGGGCTTCACTGATCGAAATGCCATACTGGCTAGGAAGTGCTGGGCTCGTGCGAGTTTTGGGCGCCATAGACTCAACCTCTTAACAGGAACCCCACTTCCCTTCCCAAATCTTCAATCTCAAAGCCCGAGCGCCGGACTAGAACCCGGAAACCCGGATTTAGAGGTTCCCAAAAACCCTTCCCCCCCAAACCCGCAAACCGAGAGTAAACCGCCGAAGCCACAATGGCATAGAGAAGCCTGAACAATTGCCAATATGTGTCCTTCTCTTCCTTAAGGGCTAACCATTGTAACTTGGACCAAACAGGATTCCCAAGGCCTATTCTGAGAAGTCTAGTTCAGGCCCCAATGCCCTGAAGCCTAGACCCTAATGGGGTCCTTATAATAAGGATCCTACTGTTTAGGGTACGATATTAGGGTCCCCTATTTCCGGGAACCCCCCAAATTAGAGCTTGCTGAAAGCCGCCAATGATGCCCTCCGCCGACTTCCGGTCAGTGCCGTGCCAGAGGTAGGCCTTGCCGGACCGACTTCTGGTTCATGCTTTACCTTCACCCCAAAGAGCCTACTTTTTTAAGGATATATTATATAAAGTGATCATAAGAAGGAGCCCTAAAAAGGTAGGTTCTTCAGGGTCCAGGTAGGGTTTAGGCTTTGAGGGCTCAGGGACTCCAGGGCTTCCCGGCTTCGGGGCTTTAGGGGGTCGGAGCTTCAGCTCTGAGGGGTTTAGGGTTTAGGGTTTAGGGTTTAGGGTTTAGGGTTTAGGGTTGAGGGTTTAGGGTTTAAGTTTTGAAGGCTCGTTTTTTCGCTGCACTGCAAAGCCGGAAGACCTCCACATTAGGGCCGGTCGGACAACCGATAAGCTCACTGAGGTGCTGGTGGTGGGGTGTCCGGCTCGGGGTTGAGAGCCTCGGGTTCTGCATTCTCACTTCGAACCCGAATCCGCCTGACACCGAGCCTTCCGTCGGCTTCAACCACCCCCATGCCTGGAGGGCACAAATGAAAAACCCCCACATGAATCAACACCCCTCAACCCTAAACCCTAAACCCTTTCAGTAATGGCTGAGGCCATCCTCGAAAGTAACGAGGAAAAGTCGAAATAGCCGGGAATTGCAAGGCTTGGAGTTGGAGCATTGGCTTTTGAAACAGCACAGAGTGAAAGGAACTCGGGTGCACGGCTTAGGGCTCAGAGTTGCGGTTTAGGCTTGAGGGTTTGGGGTGTTAGGATTTACGTCGCGGCAGATCCCAAACTCTCGATCCCGTCTTTCAACATAAAGCACGAGATCGTTTCGTGCATGCCCACCTCATTGCACTCCAAGCGGAGCCGATTTCGCAGCTCCTCCGGCGCCAGACGCCTTCGCTGACGGTTTTCGATCTTTGCAGATGTTGTACAATGTAGGGGCCGCAAGAATTATTGCCCAACATAATATAGGTAATTATTAAGGCCCCTATATTACGTGGTCCAATGCTAGAGTTCTGATGCCCTGACTTTGGGCCGGGAGTGCGACCCTATACGGTCGCCTTTCCGTTTGTTTACTGCATGGTCCGGGAGTGGAGGCGCATGAACGACTAGATTAGAGTCGTAACGGGGGGTAGGTTGCGTCAGTATTTGGTAAGTATAGCAGGTCTGCTACTGTCTGCAACAAGTGGTTGTTGATCATTGCTACTCTTCTTTTGTGGTCGCACGCAAAAAGGTTACGACATTGATGCTACCTTGACTGGCCCAGCCAGCACCTCCTGGAATCTCGAGGGCTATAGACCATGTGCAGTGCTCAGATGGGCCTCCAACTTCGCCACTCTTCAGCGAAGTTGTCTTACTACCGTATCACTAGTCATAAGGACCCCTAGGGGGGTGGGGGCAGGGGAGTAGGGGGCCCCTTAGGGAAGTATAGTCCCGCTACCCCTCTCCCCCTTACACCCCTAAAACTTCCCTATGAACTATTGAAAGCTCTGTTACCATCGCGACGAAGATCATGTCCTGGCTTCGTGCAGCTATCGTTACCATTGGGTTATATAAGTCTCACCGTAGGCAAGCATGGCTTTCTTTCATCTTTCACTTGTATGGCGATGGCTGACCTTGAGCATGCATCGTCAGATAGATTGCAATCTATCGCTGGCTGTGGACACCTTTCCTTTTCAAACCAGCACATACAAGGTGGTGTGGGGTCCAGGAAATCTGCCGGCAGCACGCTCAAACCCCGAAGCCTGGACCTCAACCCCAAACTCGAAACCCTCCTTAACCCTAAACCCTAAACCCTAGACCCTAACCGAAGCCTAGTCTTCTACATGACGTGATGTTTGTACGAGCTGCCACGTCAGCGGCTTCGGCTGCAGCGTGCCAGAAAATGGTGTGCGGATAACCTGAGTCGGGCCAAAGGACTTCTTCAAGTGAGGCAGGGTTTAGGGTTTAGGGCTTAGGGTTTAGGGTTTAGGGTTTAGGGTTTAGGGTTTGGGGTTTTGGGGTTGGGGGTGTAGGGCTTAGGCCAGAAGAATTCACAAGACTATGTAGATCAGATCGGTGCTGCAGGGCGTAGCCAGTGAGCTTCTTCACAACTGTTAATTCGGTGTCTGGTAAAAGTGAACCGTGATGTAGGGTTTAGGGTGTAGAGTTTAGGGAGAATAGAATGTAAAGAAGTGTGAGTCAAAATGTCTTCGGAGTACTGTCTTGAATGGAAAGCCAGCCAGGCTGCTGCGTTCGTATTTGTTGCGTTCGGTTGCATAACTTCTGTTTCAATAATGTTCAACTGCGTGTACTCTCCTGAACGCTGACAATGGTCGAATTTAAAACAAGGTCGTTGCACGACTTACAAATCTATTCCCCACACCAGACTCACAGCCATGGGACAGAGGGCACACTGTTCCTATAGCTAAAAGTATGTATGTATGTATGTATGTATGTATGTATGTATGTATGCATGCATGTATGTCCGTCTGTCTGTCTGTCTGCCTGTCTGTATGTATGTATGCATGCATGTATGCATGTATGTATATACATGTGTACATACTGTGCATATATACACATCTGTATATATGTATATATACATATATTTATATGGGTAGTGGTGCATTTCGAGAACCCAATAAAGTTCTACTCTTCTTACGGCACCTTATAGTTTGGGAACCCAGAAGGGGACCCTAGTTTTGACAACCACCCGTACATAGATATGTATTACATATAGGTAGTTGTCAAAATTAGGGTCCCTTTTTGGGTCCTTATTATAATACGGCACCTATTATTTAGGGTACCCCAAAAGGGACCATAATTTTGACAACTGCCCATATATTATACATATGTAGATACATACATGCAAGCTTATACAAGTCACCTGCAAACAGCAGCCTCTTAACTCGCCAACCCGTGTGGGGTGATCCAGATGGGGAGCCCTCTTCAGTCACGCAAAGGGCCTTAAGCTCCGCCCTGAACCCTGGCCAAGCGTCGTCCGCAGGCTCGTCCTGATGCAGCTAACCCTTGAATCCGAAGCAGAAACCTCAGATCTGATCACCACACGTGGCTACCTGACCCACAACCCTCTCAACCCCGAAGCTTTCGCTAAAATGACGAGCTTGAAGACGTTATCCTGATGTTGCGCACCTAGTGAAGTTTAGTGTTTCCTCCTCAATATCACAACATCCCGATTCCCAGGATTCGTGGAAGCAGGTCCCAAGAGGGTGTTGGGTTCAGGGTTGCAGGCTCTTGGGTTCAGAGTTTAGGGGTTTTGGGTTTTGGGTTTGCGGTTCAGGGATTGGCTCCGTCAAGATCTCGAGGTGTGGCGCTTAAGAACTCCGTAATTTCTGCAGAGGCTCATCTGCTGATAGCCGGGTGGTCACCCTAAACCCTAAGCCCTAGCCCTAAACCCTATTCGAGTTCTTGACGTGCTGAACCGTCGGCCCAGGCCTTGTCCCAGAGGTGCAGACTGCACCCAAAAGCCATCGAAGAACAGAAGCACCGAAACGTCCGATATACTGCGGCTTACAGCAGCAGAATCGCCGTCATCATCATCATCATCACCATCACCCTATTCTAATTATTAGGGCCCCTAAACCCTAAACCCTTATAGTAGCCCTTATGGAACCCTTTAAAGGAACCCTATGAACTGCCATTCTCATCATTCCTCTGAGCAACAGCAGTCTCAATAGCTGTGATCTCTCTTTTACAATCAGCTCGGTGCTTCCAAGCTTAGCCGGGAGCCGCCCACTTCCATCATGGACTCAGCATGTCAGAAAGCGGGCGTAATCTGTTATTTTTATGTTTTTTTTTTGAGGGGGTGGGGGGCGTATTCATATAATCTTAGGGACTGTAAGGGTAAGTATTCCGACACAGGCCCTTTCGTCCTTGTGCAAAAGCCTCCATCGCACCCTGAATCCCAAATCCTCACACCCCTGACACACTGAGCCCTAAACGGCCCTGAACACTCCAACCCTCTAAACCCTACACCGTAAACCCTCAACCCTAAACACCTAAACCCTCCCCAACTCCCTTTCGCTGCCTCCTGAGTTCGAGCCTCGGATAAGCACGCACAGCTCCTGCAGAGCGCGGGCTGGGACTGTCTAGGGCTTGGAGGGTCTAATGGTTTGGGGCTCAGGGTTAGTATAGAGACCTAAATAGTTTCTGGGGTGCGGTGGATACAGGATAGAAGTTGTTAAGAACCCCAAGGTGTAGTCTACCGCATTATTCAGCGCATTCAGCCTGGGGGGCAGTTTAGAGCTCGAGCCCGTTTCAGTTCAGGGTTTCAGACTCACGATGGATTGAGAACAGGCAAAGGAGCCAAGCTGGCTGCCCAAAAATCCTGGAGCCCTAAACCCTAAACCCTCAAGCTAGTGCAAGGGCGCCAAACCCTGATCCGCCCTAAACCCTAAACCCCGCTACCGATTCGCTTTAAGGCTTTGCTCTGCAAGGTGTCGACGTCTGAGCAGGCCGAAGACAGGCCTCGCGAACCATAGTTCCCTAAACCCTACACCCTAAACCCTAAACCCTAGACCCTAAACCCTAAGCCCTAAACCCTAAACCCTAACCATAGTTTTGATCCGCACTCCCGACTTCCGAATCCCAAACACCCCGAAGCCCAGGTCCGGGACTCGCCCCGAACCCGGGTTCCTTTAAAGGGCTCCTTTACAGGGTTTAGGGTTTAGGGTTTAGGATTTAGGGGGTTTAGGGGCCTTTAAGGGCTTCCCTTACTCGGCTACTTTAGCCTTCCGGGTAGCCCAACCGACATTCCACGCGAAACTCCCAGAAGTTTGCTCCTCTCGTACTGGTGCCACATGCGAGAATCCTTTCCGGAACCGGGACAAGGATGCTTCGGGTTTCAGGCTTGCGTCGGGGCCTCAGAGGCCGGAACCTCTCGACCCAAAACCCTAAATCCTAAACTGTTGAACCTTAGACCGTCCACCCTAAACCTTATGGCTTGGAGGTTTTAGGGATTTTGACTGGGCTCGGGATGAAGGCTTGGCTTGATGGGGCCATTTTTGTTGGACGGGTTTTTGTCCGTACAGTACTCAGCCACTGCGATTTCTGTTCACAGAATCCTGCGCAATGATGCCACAGATACCTATTCTAGCTTCGAGATCAAATCGAGCGTGCAACCGATGCTCAAGATGCAACCAACGGGGAAAGCCCACAGCTTTACTCCTCGATGCTCCGTCAACATTTCAACCCTATACTCTCAACCCTGAACCCTCAGCCCCGCACTCCCAAGACCGTCAAAGCAGCCCTAAACTTTGAACCCAAATGCTGAAACCCCATTTAAGCCCTAAACCCCCAAACCCTAAATCCCTAAGCCTCAACCCTAATCCCTCAACCCCACATGCTGGCGTTTAGGGCTTCCGATTCGACGCCGGATCGTAAAACGGTTGGGCTTCAGTGCCGGGGAGACTCTACAGCAGCATTTTCCGGCTGGTAGGCTTGCAACTTAAGGCAAAATAGGAAGTTTTGGCGGACTGCCGGAGGCCTTAGGATCCAGATCCTAAAACCCATGACGCGAAACTCCAAACTTCCCAAACCCAACCCCTCGTCCCCTGGGCTCCTCGATGCGCAAAAGCTTGCTAATCTTCATCTTGTGCGGAACCTGCAACAGCCGTTGGAGCTTGGGGTTTTGCCGCTGAGAGGATGGATCTCGCCTTAGCTGCCAGATGGTCAGCACTTAGGATTTGGGCCGGGGGTGGAGGGGGGTTCGTAAACCACCGTGCTGACTTCAGGTAAGGCGTCCCTAGACAGGGAGAAAGAGAGAAAGAGAGAGAGAGAGGGAAAGGGAGCGACATACATGCATAACGTACATACAGACCTACGTACGTACATACACACATACACACATACATACATACATACATACATGCATACATGCATACATGCATACATGCATACATACATACATACATACATACATACATACATACATACACACCTACACCTACCTGCACCCAGACCTATACATAGACCTACCCCTACACACTAAAAACTGCACTTAGACCTAGACCTAAAAGTATTTTTACATATATATATATATATATACATATACATATATATATATATATATTCACAAACAAAGGTGCATATATACATATGTACATATACATATATATATATATATATGTACATGTATACATATATACATATATACATATGTACATATATACATATATACACATAAACACATACTCACATATACACATATACATACTACATACATATACATACTACATACGTATACATGTACACACAGACGGGCTGACACGCTGAGTCCTAACGCCTCACACTAGACGCTGGGGATATGGAGTGAGGTGGCGTTCATGCGTTTTCAGGTGCAACAATTGGCACTGCTCTTCGGCAATGCTCAGCAAGGAAGAGCGTCACCCAAAGGCACGACGGATCCATTGGCAACGAGGCCCACGAAAGCACAGCAGCAACAGCAGCAGCAGCAGCCAGCACAGTCAAAACTATAGCCACCAGCACTATGTAATCCTACCATGAGAACCACAACAAGCTTAACCAAAACAGAAACCACAGCAACAGAATAACAAGAACAACCCCCCATTGCCTCATTGGCCATGAACATGGTGCGGTCCAAGATGTCCTGCTGAAAGGAATAACAGTAGCAATAGCAATAGTAACAGAAATATGAGGTCGTACAAGTGGATAGAATATGGGTACAGTTGACGGTTCAGGGACGGCATAAGACACTCTAGTTCAACGTACTGACACACAACTTCAGAGCATCACCAGGGCAAACAGCAGGCCGTCGTATCCAAGACCGTCGTCGTTGTTTCAATCACTGTCCTGCACATGAGTGACCTCTTCGGTGCCACATTCCACGATGTTGTGGAAAGGCTGCGGGCAGTCACCCGTGACCTGAGCTTTCAGCACAACGTCAACCCAATCCTTCAGATCAAAGCCTGAGGGTAGGCTGAACCATCAAGTCGCGCGCTCACTCTCTCTCTCTCTCTCTTTCTTTCTGCCGGGCTTAGGGTCGTCTATGCGACCCTCAGGCCTTCGGCCCGCNNAGTGGCCGGCATTGGGGTCATCAATGACCGTTGCAAAACTCTCTCTCTGTCTCTGCCTCTCTATCTACTCATGTATCCATCTCTACCTTTCTGTGCTATGTACTGATACACTGCGAAGAGCACCGGATGGCACTTCTCATGCTGTCCTACCTTGCTATCCGTGTGCACTGTCGCATGTCCAGTCCTTGTGGAGAATGTGTCGAGAAAAGACTTGACAACTGGCTTCTGAAGCAGGCGACTGTCCATAATCCCACGTGGTAGGGTCTGTTCTGCACAACCACATTATGGGCATGCTCTGGGGCATGCTTGTGATATCCCCTGCTCACTGCTCTCTCACTCTGACGAGAAAAGCTGTGCCCTATCATCACAGCGTCTCTCAGAACAGAAAACAGGTGAACCAAACCAGCGTTCTGAAGCATGGCTTTGCACCTGCCGTTGTGATGGCCTCGGCACCTTCGAGGCACCAGCACTCTCAACTATCCAACGCCACCTGGAAGCCTGGAGAAATCCTTAGCAATGGAACTCATCTGCAAACTTTGCCTCCTCGACACACTGCCCTCGCCATCCCTCTAATCGCCACGGCCCCCCCCCCCCCCCCCCCCACCCCCAACAGAAAAAACCCTAAACCCTAAACCCTAAACCCTAACTGCTCCCCATCCCTAAACCCTAAACCCGAACTGCTCCCCATAAGGGCCCGGGCCCAATACTCCGGGAACTGAGGAGGGAAGTCCTCGGGGTTCCCCTCGCGACTCAAGCGCCTCAAGGCTCGGCTGTTCCAGGGTTTCGGGTTTAGGGTTCAG